TTGTTTAGCAAATTCTGCAATATTAAACAATATTTTTTGAATAAATCTCATCTTTGTTTCTATTTCTCCATATAAAGTCAAGTATTTGGCAATGAGTTCCGCATTGGTGCTCATTTCTTTGCTTTAAACTGTGCCACATACTTGATTTATTCAAAAAAATATTGTTTAATAAATATCATATAATGTTTTATTATTAATTATTTTATTTTATTGCATTACTGGTGTTATTTTCAAAATGATCTGTTTGTGGGCACCACATGGAAAAGACCCAAGAAACCTAAATTTGTTTCTTTGAAATTATATTGTCCTTAACTACATGCTCCTAACAGTTATTTGATGGATTTTCAAATTTTCTGCAACTATTCCACAAGAGGATTATAAAAAAACTAAATGAACAAGTTTTTATTTTAAAATTTAAGCAACTGATACAATCCACATTATGAAGACTTCCATGCATATATTCATTGGCACTGATAAGGTTTATAAATCTGGCTAGAAAGTTATTTTTTATGCTATTTGTATTAAAAAAAAAGGTTTTCTTAAAATTTAAGTTTAAGCACTGCTACTAGAAACAAAGTTTAATTAGTTGGCATATAAGTTATAAATATTTCAAATGTAAATGTTTTATACAGTTGTGAACAAAACTTGGGGATAAGAGGAATGTAACAGATATACTTTTTGTTAAGGCTTAGTTTAAGCTAGATGCCCGTATGCATTCAGTAACTCGTCTTTATCTTCATGTTGATAAAACTAAAAGAGAACGGCCGACAACTTCCATAACCTGCACTGCTCTTTAGTTCTACCTACACTACAGATGTTCAATTTATCAGGTCTTAAGTAATAATTTAAGTATATGTTAAAACATTAAACAGAAAACATTTTAGATCTTCGCTAAGTGAGCCTAGGAGTAGAATATGGTCAAGACTATAGAGTATAAACTCAAGAGACTAACTTGAATGTTAGCCCATCGCCAGAGCCGAAAAGTTCCAATGCTGAAAGTCCATCACGTGCAAAATTTGGTCCTCCACTGGCACTAACAGTAACACCTGATAATAACGATCTATCAGCCATAGTGAAATGATAATTGAAATCTAAGTAAAGATTAAAGTTTAAAAATACAAAAAAATAATATTCTAGTTATATCTCTTCTTGCTGCAACACCCCAGTAATTCACTAGTTATACATTTATCATGCCACGCAATATTTCTTCGGTCTCTCTAGCTAATGTCATGTGATAACGTGTTGTTCTGTTTATCCATTACTCCAAACATCTCTGCGACGTGGCGCTACCCACACATACGTGTTTTGAGATAATTTAGTATCATAATTATTGGAATTAGTTTTAAACATATTATGTGTGCATGTGTGTATATATATATCCCTGTCTGATTTTATTTTGATTTAAATGCAGTATGCTTACTCGTTAATTTCTGTACTTTTAGTGTTAGGAGAGCTTTTCACTATAATATTAAACCGATATTTTAAGAAGCAGTATCAATGATATTAACCCTAAAATTACCGACGGGATTCACAACGTGTTTTTCAAACACTGACTTAAAATTTGAAAACGGCTTGAATGGGTAATACAGAAAACTTTATTACAATTTTAACATACTAACAAATGTCTGCGGACTTACAACGCTAGAAACCGGTTTTCGATACCCGTGGTGGGCAGAGCACAGATAGCCCATTGTGTAGTTTTGTGCTTAACTTCAAACAAACAAACTAATTAACAAATGTACAACGTGGCACGCGTCGAAACGTTGTACATTTGCCACTATATTTAACTTGTAGTAAAGTTTCGTTTATTACTCATTCCAGCTGTCTACAAAAGTACAAGCCTTATTAAAGTTATTGTCTCAAAGTCAAAGTGGGTTCCTCGTCACCAAACACACTTTCGTAAAATATTTATGTACCAACTTGCTTGTGCGTCCATGAGTTGATTAGTTTCAGACTCCCTAATAGCATATGGGACATGCAAAATAATGATAAACAAATATGCTATCGATATTGAAATGAATCCTAATAATTACTACTCAGATTGGTCTAACATTGCCTGGGGGCTCGTGGTTAGGGAGTACGACTCGCAATCTAGATTTTCCTAGATATTGTTACGACAGCGGGGGTTACGTGACGCTAGTAACACATCATATTCTCGAAGGTTCGTGAAGTCTCGATCGTTTACTAGATATGCGATATTCTTGTGTATATTAGACCGGTAAGAAGTGACGGCAACAATGTAATGTGTAATTGAACTGCAGACAGAGATAGATACGGACAGTTGAGTCGAGCCCTTGAGACGTTCGTTGTGAATTATAGCGTTTGTTATAGCGCGACTGTGGAAATTAAGTGTATTGCAAAGTTGTATTCAAAAAGAATAAACAAGTTTTATTTAAGAAAGGACTTGTATCGCTAAAGTTTCTTCGGAAATAATTTTTTTACGGAAAATTAACTAACGACTAGAGACGTAACAAATTGGTGTCAGGAGTGGGATAGAAAATAAAAATAAAAAAGTAGAAGAAGAAGAAGAAGATGGAAACGAGAGGCGGCAAATCAAACTACAGCTTAGCAGATTTAATGGCAGCAATACAAGAACAGCAAAAGAAACAAGAAGAACGAGAAAATAAATAAGAAAAGAAACAAGAAGAGAGACAACAGCAGTTGCAAGAAAACCTGCAACAGTGGCAGCTCGAACAACAAAATAAACAAGAAGAGAGATTACAACAGTTGTTGGAGGAAAAAGAAAAGAAACAAGAAGAGAGACTACAGCAGTGGCAACTGGAACAAGAAAGGAAACAAGACGTACAAATGGAAAACATTAATAAATTTCAAAGTGAATTAAATGCATTAAAGGATGATCTATTGTCTTTTACACAAGGAGGATACATTAACCATCGACTTAATCAGCCCCAGACAATGGAAAGCCCCTTCCAGACC